GGACTTACTGCAACACTCCAGGCCATGTGCAGCAGTGCAGATGCACTGTTCAGCATTCTTCCTTTTACTCAGGAGTTACTGCAACACCTTCCTCACTTGGCCTTGGTGAGTTCTTATCCCTGACTGACTACCTTTGACTATGCTGCTCTTCCCGTGAACCTTCATGTGGGCTGCCCCTTCTCAACCATATCAGATATGAGCTCTCTGGTTTTACTGTCAGAACCTGTGGCAGTCCTATCACCTTTCCATAGGCGACAACAAATCTAGTTCTATCCTTAATCAACTCACAGTGCTGGCATCCATCACCAGTTATCTATAGGCATAATATGTTTTCCTTTCTGCTTTGAAGGAGCAGCCAAAAGAAACAGAAAACCATACCACTATCCTTCTTTAAATCCTCCTTAATAACTCTCCTGTGCTGCAATGCTGACAAATGCTTGCAGCTGCTTGACATCACAACTGACTTCTGTTATCCCCTTCGTTCTCCATTTCCAAATCCATTTGTTCTGTTTGGCTTAAAGCTTTGATGTAAGCTCCCTGTTTTGGAGGCTCACTTTTAGGACTGGAAAGGAGTAACTCATACTCTATGTGTTCTGCTGGGCTCTCCATCCCTGGGCAAATTAAAAAATGGTAATTCTTCTAAAGGATCTGCACAAAACCAGAGAGGACTTATATCAGGGGATCTCAGCTTGTTATATACTCAGTACATGTAAGTGACTCACCAGACAATTGCAACTGCCCAGATAATTTCAACTGGTAACTGAGTAAGAATTACACTTGTTTGCTACCCTGTGCTTATCACACAGCAAGTCTTTGTCAGATAGGTTCTCTCACAGTTCTTACTCTGTTACACGCATTTTGGCTAGATGTGCAAGCTTTCCCAGGCCAGGCAAGCCACTAGAAGTGATCTACTAGCAATGGGCTGCCATTACCCTGGTACAGCAGTATGGCAGTTTGGTATACTGGCACTTTATTCCTTTTTCCATATGGGGCTACAGTGTCTACACTCAGATTAAATGGAATCCACACCATGGTTTGTACTTTGTCTATGCTTGCAAGAAGAAGACTAGGTGAACTGAAACACTACAATTTTCTGTGTTCTAGTTTAATTCAGACTCCTGAGAGCTTCTCTTTACAGATTTTAATGGTTTCGTTCTTTCTGAAAAAAGCAACACAAATAGAAGCATCCCAAGGATTTAAAAAGATAATTCAGATATCTGTACACTTAAAATTTTTCCTCTTGCTATAAACTTTAAAAGATCAAAGTTAAGTAACAAATTTGAATCATTTCAAGCAAATTTTAAATTAGCAAACATAGCTGCCAAGTGGATCACAATAATCCTTCATTATAATCTTTCTGTAATTCTTTTGATTTACCAGTGCCTGGTTAGCAGGTCAAGAAACATCCAGAAGACTGAACTCAAAGTACAGCACTTCGCCTGCAACAATGTAGGCGAAGTTACAAGTTCTGATTTATTGAATGCATTTCTTTTCCATATTACAAGGTTGAGGGAATGGGAAAGGCTAACGTGCCACTTCTTTAGAGAAGCAGATTCCAAGCACAAGCTATCCTACACTTCCATGGGACTTCTCTATGAAGATTACACTAGAACAAGAAAAGGTTCTACATGAGAACAAAGATGAATCAGGTTCATTTCAGTCTAGACTGTGCATAACCAACACCTGTACAGATTGCACTAGCTACTCAAACATTGATTGTGAAGATACTAAAGTACCAGGTCAGAAAACAGAGCTTGCAGTCCACTCCGAATTGTAACATATTCCTCCTTTTCGAATGAACAGTATTCTAAATTTCTTACCACATATTGAAAAATATTTTGATTTGGAAATGTTTTAATAATGTTGAAAACATTACATCCTAGTATATGAAATATTATATGTAGTAATTAGTATATAACAATGACACAAAAATTAAAATAGCATGCTGTAAAAGGAGATTGTACAGTATGACAGTCTGAGATATCCTTAATACAACAATAATGGTTATGGGAGAACATGAGGGAAATGGACTGCAAAAACTGGACACATTCTTCCTACAGAGCATCTTCTAGTGGCACCACAGGATACAGAATTCTGTGTTACATGGACCATTGGTCTAACTCAGCAGGGCATTGCAAATGTTCTTGAAATGTTCACGTACATACTAAGGGAACCAAAACACCTAAAAAGAATGCTTTAACAGTCTTCTTGACATTCAGCACAAAATGATTTATTTCAATAATTTCCTGGAAATTCCCTCCACCTCTCCAGAAACGGACATACACCTCTCCAAAAATGGAGAGGTTTCTACAAAATGCTTTGATATCATAAAACTGTATTTTTAACTGGGAAGTCGCTCCATCCAAACTTTTTTTCCCTACCAAGCTAAGTTTTAACTCATGAAAACAAAATCTCTTTTTTTTTTTTTTTACTCTAAAAATGATGGGTGTTCTCTCTATTTCCTAAGCATAAAAATATATTGAGAATGATAAAATATACTACCTTACTTATGTGACTTACAAACCCCAATGCATCTCAAATATGGCATGCCGAGAGGGATTCACTCATGGACTCCACACATGATTCAATGTGAATTCTATGGAGACCTTTATTATTGGTTACATGATCACTTATATACTCTTAAGCTGCTAACACACACTCACACACACACACACACGCATAAAGAACTCTTCATTGGTTAAAAGCTACTGTTCACATGCCTGGTTACAATACTTGATTGGATAAATCCACCTGTTCATGAGGCATTCTTTTTACTTCTGACTAGCCACATAAGAAGTTTCTTACCTTGTTTTTCTTGCATTCTTTCTCACTCAAAATCAGGGCTTAACTGCTCAAGGCCGAAGCCACTTGCAGCTTCAGCTCTTAAAGCGCCAACAATGGCATGCATAACTATGTGTCTTTCGAAAATGGACTGAAATGCTTCTTAAAATTCTGCATGATCTGTGTAAGAAATGAACTGTAGAAATACGTTGCATTATGATTCTTGGCTTCTGGCTTACAGTAGCAAGTAAAAGCTGTTAAGACCTACAATTTACCTTGCTGTGGTATTTTCAGCCATCATTTAGTCTTGACTAGGTCTACACTGTTTGTCCTTCCAGCCTTTAGGAACATATCACCAGGGTAGGTGCTTACTGCAAAAGGTCCATCTTAATTTTAAAGGATCACACAGAATTTGCAGGGATTAGTTGATAGCTTTTTTGAGAGAAGCATATGAAAAAGATCTCCTCCTTGGTATCAAACTCTGCAAATGTAAATTTCAAGATTGGATTCCCCTCTTCAGGGGAATATCTGAAGTGAAAATGTTCTTTTATGATAAATTTAAAAATCCCCCAAAACCCAAACCAATGGAAACATAGAGGTCTCTGTAAGCTAAAGACTAAACACCACCTTTATGAATGTAGACACAAACATATTGTTAAAAAAGAAACCAATAAAACAGAATAGAAATGATGAAGATATCTTCATTTTTATAAACTGCAGGACACCTAAACAGCTACTAAGAAAAACAAACTGCAACAGCCCTGTAAAGATTCATACAAGCTGAAAGGAAGGTGACGCTTCAACAGGGAATTCTGTTCCACGACAGTTTTCTTTCACAGATACTTATATTAAAAGGAAAGTTTCACCGAAGTCACCACTGCAATTTATTTTTCTACTTATGCATATCTATGTGTACACACATCAACTGAAATCTGTTGCACTCATGGATCTACATGTGCAGTGACAGGAATCAACCAAGACCACTCTACACACTCCATACTAGCACTTGCATGTGTATAGCTTGGCACACGAAGAGTAAATATAAAACTTATACTCCAGATGTAGGCTTGTGTTTTTCACATTAGGAAAATAAATCCATATGAAATATAAACCTTAAAATATAAACACTTGACTGCTTCTTCACAGTCTGTTCCATCCTGGCTGTTTGGCATCCATTCTTTACAGGCCAGAAGTTTCACAGATGGATTTTCAAATGCCCAGCAGACACAACAGAAGCTAGATTTTCAAAGATGCTCACTGCATCTCCTCTTACATACATAGAGCTGATGTATTTTGACGTCAGTCTAACCTAATAATTTATTATGATTTCCAATGCAAAATATTCTTAAAAGCATTTTCCCAATGCAAGTCAGAAGGATTTGGAAGAGCTTTTAGAACTTTAACATTTTTTAGAGCTTGTTTCCAGGATTAGATACCATTGCATCATTGAGATATTTGGCAGGAGATTTGTATTCACTTAGCTGACAAATCATAAAATACAACCAATTCTTCAATCTCAACCTTATCAAACACCCGCAAGAGCCCTGATTGTTATGAAAGGCACACTATTCTTGTCAGAGACATTCTTCATTTTCCTCTGAGGAGAGGAGGAAGTTTTCGCAGAATACGTTACAGTGAATCTATGAAGATGGTAATGATCAAGCTCTTCATTCCTAGATAAGTTAAAACTACAAATTACAGGCCTTACCTTGCTCTGATTCCATTTGAGGAAATCCTGCTGCTTTCAACAGTATTTGGGTAGTAGCCTGTTTTTATTGACTTAGTTATCTATTTGTGTATTTACTTGCACAAAAAACCACAATTCAATTAATTAATTGCTATAATCTCATTTAGAAAAAAAAATGATCATACTGTTTTCTTATACTGTTATGTCATATCTTAGTAATATTTAAAGAAATGCTACTGGAGGAAGATTAGCATGACAAGCCTTTCACCAACCCTATGAAGTCCTATTAGAATTTATATCCTAATTCTGAAGGCACAGTACTATCAGTATAAAATCAAAATAAGAACACTGAACTCAGAGCAGACCATTAATTCAGAACACTGAAAAGACTAAACAGCAGTATTTGTCACTTCACATGCAACCACTCTAAAGAAAAACACTAAAAATGTTGCTTGCATCTCATTCATTGAGTTTATACTCAACACAGGA